GAATTCCGTTTGAGATTTTGAAATAAGTTTTCCCATAACACGCTTAAGTCTAGAAGCCAACAGTTTAGAAACCAACTTATAGACACTACCGATAAGGCTAATAGGTATGTAATCGTCAAGGCCCTGTGGGTTAAGCGTTTTGGGAATAAGAGGCAAAATGAAGAAGACAATGCCTTTGACAACCATGTTGATTCGTGAAAATCTTGAATGCAACCAATCAAATCCAGCCCAACGATATCCCAACAATGTTTGAGGAAATAAAAATTGAACCTGTCCAGTCTAGGGCTTTTGTCTCTACTAGAATCAAAAACCACCTCCTTAATTTCTTCCTCGCTAAACTTCTCCTCAAACTTGACACAATCCTCCAAAGATAAACTAGCAATACCAAACAAATCCATGCTAGGTCTAGTAATACCATTAGACAGAAATTTGTCCTCAAAATGCTTTTTGAAAGCATTCTTCACAAGGATAACATCATCCACACACCCCGAATCAAGCTGAATAGAGGAAATAACATTCTGTCTACATCTATTTTTGAGCAAAGCATGAAGATATTTCATATTTTGGTCCCCGTCCTGAACCCATTTAATTTTGGCCTTCTGCTTCAAAATACTATCCTTGATCCGCAAGTTTTTCCAGAACTCGACCCGAGCAAGCTCCCTCCTCTTCAAATCATGATCCAAAATAGGGCCAGATGTCCTAGCCATGATAGCCTCGACATCATTAATGACCTTGACCTCTCGCTCCACATTTAAGTCAAGCCATCAAAAATGTATTTATTCCACCATCTGAGTCAACCTTTCAGAAGTTGAAGCTTCTTAATAAAACATGTGCAACACTACCATTGACGGCGAATGAATTCCATTCCTTCTTGACAAACGAGATAAAATTAAAATGCTCGAACCAACACTTAAAGACTTTAAAGGGCTTAGGACCCCAATTTGTACTCCTTGCTTTAATCCAAACTGGCCTATGATCTGATAAATCTCTGTCTCCAACAAATTGTACCACTGAATTCCAATCGTTTAGAAGCCCATCAAAAATCAGAAATCTATCAAGACGACTATAGCAACTTCCGTTTGAGTTGAACCAGGTGAATTTGTTCCCAGTGGTTGGAAAATCAACTAGATCCATCAATTCAATAAATACCCCAAAATCCTCCATTTCAGACTTGTTGTGGGAACCCTTAACCCTGTATTCCTCCTTGTTTTTAATAGCATTGAAATCTCCTCCCAAGATCCACCCGACCGATGCCAATTTCGCTTTCCATTCTAGTAAATCGGACCGTAACTTCCTCTTCTCAGCCAGAAAACACAAAGAATATATGTTGATTAAGTAATAATTTCTTCTTTTCCACAAAACATTGAGATCCAAAAAACCACCACCCCAAAAAATAAATAAAGGAACTAAGAAATCCTTTCTCCAAACAATTAAAATACCACCAGATTATCCTTTAGAGTCGATAGCGGACCATTCAAAAAATTCATCATCCCACAAGCTTTGCACCAGATCAGAATACATACTTTAACACTTTGTTTCTTCGAAAAAACACACATCAGCCCGCCTTTTTAAAACAATTTTTTTGATATGCCTCCTCTTTGAATTCCTACCGCATCCTCTTATATTGTAAGAAACAAAATTTATCGTACTGACTTTTCAGCCTTCCTCTTATCGTAAACATATTTTCTATTATTAGCTTCCATCTTCCTAATGATCCTCTAAAGACTTTATCGTCCTCCTCACCTTTGATGCCCAACTTCTTGATTGAATCCCATACCTTGCTTGGAACATCCCCCCACTTCACTTAAGATTTGAGAATTAGAATGATTGACATTGGAATCACCTAAAAAATCACAACATAAAACAGATCCTCTAGAAGAACGAGAATTAGAGTCTTTAGCCACTAGATTAATGAGACTGAGTTGTTGCTATTGATAACTATTGGAATTTAATTTGGAGCCTAGAGTGAGATTCTCAACAAGTATACGTGCAGAGTAATAAGATGGGGAAAAAGGAATCTTCAGTGTATCATAAATATCATGCAGTAATTTTTTCTTCCTTGGCCTCACCAACGAAACTAGTCCTGCCAACTACAGATCCGAGCAAGAAATTGGATCAGACACCGAACGGGCCATATCCAACGTCCTAGGCCCAATATTCACTATATCAACATCCCTTTTCACTTCAACCTCAGCAAGTACATTGCTATGGCTCTCCCATCCCCTTTAAAGCTACCCTTAAAGGCTTCAGGCCTAATTTCACCCTCCTTTAGGCCTTAAAGGATTCCTACGTGCCACCATCGTTGTTAGAGATGTATTCGTCCGAAGAACCCAACCTTTTAGCCCTTTCAGCGATATCAATCCTCAGAGGACCATGAGCATCTTCCAAAAGTCTGATCCTATATATTCTATTATTCACCTCCACATTGAACACTTCATTTAAGTTAATAGTAAATTTTTTTTTAACAAGGAATCTAACAACATCAAATTTTTTAAAGCTTCTCCATATCCTCATCAGATTTGATGTATACTCCAACTCTACCAGCTATGAATTTAAAGAATTTAGAGCACCACACATAGGAAGGAAGACCATAAACGCGAATTCACGTGAGTCTCTCATTATTCACGTCCTCCAGATACCATGGATGAATGCCAAAGAACCATTTGGATACCCAGGATTTTTCCTCCTTAATTAGTGAAACAATGTCGCCCTCCACCTCCTCCTCCATTAGACACAAATTTGCTCCCATTGGGGTTGCTTTGATTCGAAAGAATCCTTCAGGAAAAAAAAGCATCCTGAACGTTAAAAGAAAACCCCGACTCCAACACCACACCCACGTAAGCTTTGTGAAATCTCTCCAACTCAGAATCTTCAAGGTTGAACTGAAGATGTGCGAAAGTTGGCTTTGCACGCAAAAATCTTTCCACTTCTCATTCATCTTGTATCTAGGGCCCCTCCCCTCGAAAGAGTTCTTCTAACCCACACCCACCAATTTTTCGCCCACCGCTTGCGCATACGAAACAATTCCCTTCGACTTACACCACTGCCTCCCACCAGCACGAAACTGAACTTGAGCGTCCAGGTTTATTTTATTTACCAACTGTTCATTACTGCCATAGAGAGACCTACGATTCCCATGTTGAAATCTAGGCACGTTTGCGAAAATCTTTTTACCATTGATCAATATATTATCCAGTTTCACTGCCATTAACCTTTCATTGTCAACATCTTTGAACCGGACAAAACCATACATTTTCCCCCGTTTGTCTCTCTTTGGTGGTATGACCACCTCCTCCACCAAACCATATTCCTTGAACACTTCAAATAAATCTTTTGTTTCAAAGACATCTAAAAATTCCATGATAAAGAAAAACAATATGTTGTTACCTTCGTTCAACGCAGTTTTTCTTCCTCTGGTTGTCCAAATCGATCTCCTTGATACCCTTCCACTATCAAATTTGGTCTTACGGACCTATACCCATTCCTCTTGTAGCTCTTTTGCTCTGTTGATTTTCTCCAATAATCGATTGCTATTGACTGAGCTGGGTTGGATGTTATTGACTGGGGTGGGTTGATGTTGAGCATGCATGTTAATTATTGAACACTTCAACATTAACCAAATTATTTAGAATTACACGTTGGTTAAATAGCTCAACAATTTTCTCACTACCTTAACGAGAGTCATACTGATCTAAAGCCACATATGTTAACACTTTCAAACATTAAATATAACATACATTATGTGTTACCCTACGTATTTATCTCAATATGTCTCTTATTTTTCATCTTTTATATTTCTTTAGTTTCAAATATTCACACAAAAGTTCAAAGGACGCCATACTTGACTTCAAGTAGGAAAATATTTTTCAATTCACATCATTATTGTGTATAAGTGTTGATAAAAATTTGACTTTCTAACCTCATGATCAAGAGAAAAAACTCAAATCCTTGTGAAATAGTAGTAAAATAATCAATAATAACATTTAATTTTCATAAATCATATCATTATTGTACTCCTTATAATATATATATGAATACGAGTCACTCAACTTTTGGTATATGAAATATACCTTCATAACAAAATTGATGAGTTCATCATTGAGAGGTACAAGCTGTATTATCTATTATGTTTGGCATCTTTTTTGGTATCTTTGTTTGTATATGCAACTAGCCAAACAAAACTTGTATAATTTATATATTTACTCATATAGTGATGTTAGTTAGTTTTATATCATATTATCTTTTAAAAAGTGGTTAACCACCTCTACCCAAAGCCAGCATAATCCATCAAGCTATCTCTCAAACACTCTCTCCACGTCTCTTTATATCTATCTCTCTTTCAACAAAACCACCTTTTCATTTTCCAAAAGTCTCACACCCATTTCTCCACTTTTTGGACCACATCACAACCTTGCTTATTATTATTACTTTTTTTAATAATTCAAAATTTTACGACTAAAATGCACTTCTTTTATTCTTATAAATTAACAAATTTTTGAGTTTAATTTTGTAATTTTTTTGCCTGAGTCTCTATATCTTATATTTTGTCTGTGTTTTAGTCTTTAAAGTCAAAATCTACAGGAGAATTTGAAAAAAAATCGACATGAAATCCACGGATTTTGACTTTAGAACTAAGCCACACACAAAATATAAAATATAAAAATTCAGAAAAAAAAAATTACAGAAAGCAAACTCAAAAACTCGTTAAATTACGTGAATAAAAAACTATTTAAACCAAATTTTATTAATGAAATTCAATTCTTTTTTAATAAATTCAAATTTTATTTATATATGAAATTCACTTTTTTTTTTTGTTGGGAGGGACATTGATTTATACTTCTTTTATTGCTTTTTATAGTTAGGTTTGAACCTTTCAAATTGACTTGTCTACTAAGTTTGTTTTGGCCCCATTTAAAACCTCTTATGTTCTGTCCTTTTTTTTCTCACCCAAGAGTTTTTGCCATTTTTATTTCTAACTTTGGTCTAAACTTGAATGAAAAATGGCAATTGAACTTTGCTCAGAAAACTGTGGTGTTTCTTCAGTGAGTCCAAGAATTTCTTTCTCTCAGGACTTTTCACAAACAGATGCCATACCTGTTGAGCATCAACCCTTTAGATCAAACTCTTCTGGGTTGAATTCAAGTATTGATTTTGATTTCTGTGTCAATCAAAGCCTCAACCTTGAATCATCTTCAGCTGAAGAACTTTTCTCAGATGGCAGAATTCTCCCAGCTGAAATCAAGAAAAAAAAACTCCCTTTGAAGCAACCATTAACAACAACTCAATCATCACCACCAAACCCTCCATTGCATCCTTCATGTTTGAGAAAAGATAGCTCCAAAGAAATCTCCAAAGAAAGCAAGTATTTGAATGATGAAGTGTGTGAAAAACAAAGTTCAAGTTCAAACTCAAAGTCATTTTGGAGTTTCAAGAGAAGTAGTAGCTGTGGAAGTGGCTATGGAAGAAGCTTATGTCCATTGCCACTTCTATCTAGAAGCAATTCAACTGGATCTACCTCAAGTGTTAACAAGAGAAACTCAATGTCAAAAGAGGGTATTAGTATTAAACAAAATTCTCAGAAACATTCTTCTTCAACAAGGCTTTCAAATTCATCTGGGTCTAACAGTTATCTGAAACCACCATTGAATAAGAGTCATGGATCTCATGGTAGTGTTAGAGTTAATCCTGTTCTTAATGTTCCTTCTGCAAATTTATTTGGTTTGGGTTCAATCTTCTCCAACAATAGAGATAAGAGCAAGAAAAAGTAGCATTGGTTTTTAGGATTAAATATGTTTTGAATCCTTAAGTTTTATCATTGTCATTTTATGAGGATTAATGACATATTTAATTTGACTATTTTATTTTACTTATTTATGAACATGTTGGGTTTTTCCATGTGGTTAGAAAAAAAGATATATGTTTGGAAAGGTGGAGGGTTTGCATCAAGAAGGTAAAGAGGAGGTGATGGACAAGAATGGCATAATGCAGGATATGCACATGTTTTGAGGAGACAGGTAGATGTTGTTTTCATGGAGGTCCCTTGCTTGTGTTTTGGTTTATTTGTTTTTGAAATTTGGTCTACTTGTAAATACATTGATTTTCATTAGTTTCTTTTGTTTTTGTTTGTTTGGATCTCTCTTATTCTACACATGTATTATTAGTAGTTTGAGTCACTTTTAAGAGGTATAATGGAAAAACTTGATTGAATAGATTAGTTTTACCATCTAATTTAGTTTCTAATAGAATTATTTATGCCATTCAAAAAAGATAGCGGCATATTTTATTTTCGTTTGCATTCTATTTCTCTATAAGATTTTGCATATAAATTAAAGAATACAATAATATTATCATAAAATTTAGTTATTAAAAGAGTTTGTTTTTTTCATTCAAAAAGAAATTTTTTATTATTTGTATGTATTTTTTTCCGTATAAATAGTATATCAATTAATTATTAATTATGATGCAAAAAAAATTAACAGTATGATTAATTGCACATCTCATCTCATGAAAATAGACTTCTCTTTTTTAAAATCAAAGTGTTTGGTTTATTTTGTATCATATTTGTTGCAATGGGATTTTTAAGAAAATAACTATTTTCATAAGCATAATAAAATGAGACTAGAAGAACAATTAATATCACAGAAAATATCTTTATCTGTCTAGACATTTATTAGAATATATATATATATATATATATACACACACATATATATATATATATATATATATATATATAAAAGTGGGGATTAACTTATTCAAATAGTAAACTTTTTTAATTTATTTCAAATCATAGCATTTGAATTAAATTTAATCTAATGTTAAATTATCTTTTTTTTACTTAATTAACTATTAAATTTAATTTAAGTAAAAAAATTATAATTTAAAATAATATATATATATATATATATATATATATATATATATATATATATATATATATATATATATATATATATATATATATATATATATATATATATATATATATATATATATATATATATATATATATATATATATATATATATATATATATATATATATATATATATATATATATATATATATATATATATATATATATATATATATATATATATATATATATATATATATATATATATATATATATATATATATGTAGACTTTCTAATAAATCTCTAGACATGTTAGGGTATTTTCAGTGATATTGATTTTCAAAGATTTTGACAATTTTATACTTCCTCTTATAAAAGAGTTATCTTTTATTGTATAGTATAAATAATAAACTTGAGTTAGGATTAAATATTTTGATGATTCATTTAAATATCTCATCTTTCACTTTTATTTTTTAAACAGTATTCCTTTTAAAAATTTTCATTCACATTTTTAATTTATATAATTTTTTTTAATCGTTAAATAATAAATCGTTGTTAATTTTATCGTTAAATTATAAAAATTATCGTTAAGTTATTTAAAGGACTAAAATTATGGATGAAAATTTTTAGAAAGATCATTATTTAAATAAATTTTTTTAAAAAACTAAAATTAAAATATGAAATATTTAGGAGGAGCACAAACATATTTAATCCTTTAAAAGTAATTGAAAAAAATATATATATATATATATATATATATATATATATATATATATATATATATATATATATATATATATATATATATATATATATATATATATATATATATATATATATATATATATATATATATATATATATATATATATATATATATATATATATATATATATATATATATATAACAACCCTAATTTATTCAAGTATATATAGTTTTTATAATAATATAAAAAGTATATATAGTTTTTATAATAAGAACAATCTATGAATCTCTAGAATAGGCACAATCAAAATACAATAATATTGTGAACTGTGAAGCATAGGCATTATCCTTTAGTGTTTCCTTCAGTGGTGGCCCATAATTCTTTTAATTTGTCCCTTCATTCTTATTAAGATTAATTAAATTTTTGCGGTAGGCCAGTTTCCTCTTGTTTGGTATCAATAATGATAAGAATTAATTGTGTTTTTATTATGAAGAAAGGGAAGAAGTAAAAGAGGAGAAATTGCTAGGGGTTGTTGTACCGCATTGGAGCCTTTTAGATGTTGTGATTGTAAGTTCAGCTATATATATATATATATATATATATATATATATATATATATATATATATATATATATATATATATATATATATATATATATATATATATATATATATATATATATATATATATATATATATATATATAGAATGTTACACATTCAATATAGATTCAACATCCTTCATATAAGATTGAACATGGAGAATATATGAAGAAAATATTGTGCTCTTATCTTTTCTATTACTCAATGGCGAGATCAAACTCAGCTAAATACAAAATGAATTTTCTAGCTTATTTATACATATGTGAGAAGGGAATGTGTTTGAACAACAATCAGTATAAAAAGTTAAAGAAAAAAAAAAACAATGAGTATGATCAATATTTATTAACATCCTTTGATCAAGGATGATTATCTCTACGTAATGTAACAACTATAATTTATTTTTAATTTTGTGATACAATAGAATTACAATCTTACAAGTAATTAATATATATATATATATATATATATATATATATATATATAATTTAGAATAATATCCATGAGTCATATTATAGGGTTACTGCTCCCGCACCCCTTAGGTTAACTATCCACAACAAACAGTTGAGTCTAAGACACGTTTGAAGTTTTCATAAAATGTGTTCCTCCTTGTCTTAATATGAGTTATTCCCAACAATCTTCACATTGGTAAATATTAAACCCCTATGAAGACTTCATGTATGATGATCACATCTTAGCAATTAGGAAGGTACACCATCTGCTTAACACTGAGAAATACGTAACGAGTCTATGTAATGCTTGAACTTTACATTGATGATTAGTTTGGTCAATATATTAGCTGCATTATCTGAAGTATGAATATTTTCAAGTAGTATTTGTCAAGATGTAAGTAACACTCTAATCTTGTAAAACCTCACATTGATGTGCTACAACTTAGGGATCATAATATTCACTGTTAAACATAATACCATGACCCATTGTACCCTTTAAGTACCTGGAAATCCATTTGACTGCTACCTAATGACGTTTTTCTGGTTTAAACATAACCTTACAAACATGACTTACAACTTTTATAGTAACTGCTTGTCATACCCCAAAATTTCCCCCCTATATTCCATCATCATTCTAGGAGCATCAACATTGATTATTTAACCTTAACCTATTTCAAGTTTGTCTTTGTCAAGATACAGATGAATTAGGGTTTCATACAATCAAGAAATCAGGGTTTCTAGGGATTGATCAGTCAAAGTTTTGGATTAATCCTCCACATAACAAGTCCTTATATCATCGAGGATATCACATGCAATCAAGAATGAGTCCAATTTGAGGTTGTCACAAAGAGAATGGAAGCAGTGTAGTGCAAGAACCCTAATTAGGGTTTCTTATTGGAAAAGTCAACTATAGTTTAACTTTTGGTCTAGAAGGTTTTTCAATGAGGTAATTATGGTTCATGAGGCTCATATGACCCAATGAAGTCTACCCAAGAAGTTTCAAGGCCTCAGGAAACCCAGAACATCAACAGTCGATTCAGAGATTTTTAACTGTTCGGTTTATCTATCAGAAAAGTCAACTCATTGACCAACAAGGTTTTTACCCCAAATTGAAGCCAAAAAATTTTCCAACATTATTTCATATCTAATTATGAATTTTTGTGGAGATTTAATCAAGAATTGATAGATAACTTGCAAATCAAGAAACAAGGGTAAGTGAAAAAACCCTAATTTTAATCAAACTTCAAATGATCATAACTTCCTAACCACACATCCAAATGGAGTGGTTCATAGCTTATTAGAAAGGTCTTAAGGAGCCTTACAAACATTTCCTACTGACCCATGAGCAAAAAATGAATGTATTTGGATTTATGATTCCATAAAGTTGTGAAGGATTTTAAACACTTAGAAATTTCAAGTTTTCTTGACTTGTAAGTCAAGAATTCAACATTTTCACAAGGGGTTTTAACCTAGTTTCAAGTGAAATGAGTTCCTAACTCAAAAATAAATGTTGTAGTACCTAATGAGGGCTTTCTAAAAAGTACAAGTGGGTTCCATAACTCCTCATGGTTAGGGAGAACCAAAGCTCACAAGTTGGCAAAAACCCACTGCTGCAAAACCAACTCAGCATGGACATCTTGATTCCAAAGTTTCTCAAATCAACTCTAATCAAAGATTAAGCCTCATTTCTGATCTTCAAATTTCTAATGGAAGTGTTTAGCATCATATCCCACGAGCTTGGCACAAGAAATGAAGAATATCATTGTTTAATGCAAGTTGCAAGAATGAATAGTGAAGAAAGAGAAAAATGGTGGCTGCCCTTCTTCAAACCACCAACTATGATGTAACCAGTCACTTCCTATCCCCTCAAGTGTAACACCCCCTTTCTATACCCCCAAATAATCACATAAACAATTAGTCACGTATTAAAAATTTCATCAGAGTATAATTATAAACATAGTATAAAAGAGGCGCGTCACATTACGCATGAAATTAAAACATACAACACCTGCTCAATAAAAGATATGCAACAGTGGGGTAACTTTGCAACAGAGGAACTTAGTCCTCACACCCATATCTCAATATTTAGAATAAAAGCGGAAAATCTAAACATTGAATAACATCAAACATATATACATATATATATATATATA